TTGTGGCTTCCCTTGTGGGCGCTCTCTGCCCTTAGAGCCGAAGTTTAAAGGATCAATGGCATATTGATCTTCTCAATAACATCATTACTTGGATGCATATGCCGAGGTAGTAAAATGAATGAAGAATTAAGAATTGCTTGTGTCCTTGCCTCAAGGTTGAGCTGGCCAGAAAACTGCAGCTAAATTGGGTGTAAAATTGGGCAGGAGAGTTTTTGTTCCTTTAGATATACAAATGGATTTAGATATATGCAAAACAGCCAAAAAGCCTGGCGTTAGGGGAAAGGGGAGGGGGTAGTGGTTCCCCTTTTCTTCTCTAGCATCGGGCTCTGTTGCCTTGCTTAAGTCACCTGCTTCCGTAGTCATCTTTCTGAACATGTACATCTGCCTTGATAGCAACCAGATCATTGGTCCATCCAATGCAGTCTTGTCTAATCTGATTGGCAGATCTTTTGCTGCATTTTTGCCTGAGATTTTTTTAAAAAAACTGAAGAAGCTAGAGACTGAACCTAGAACCTTCGTCGTGCACTGCCACTGAGCTCTGGGCCCTTCCCATATCACTTCAGATCTGGTTTCAGATCTGTGAGCCACAGTGAGCAAGATGATTTGGGTCCTGGTTACAAGAAGGTGGTGTCTTGTGGAGGGCTCTTGACTAAGGAGGCCTCCTCTTGCTGTTTCCCTTCCTGTAGTTAGCAGCAGTTGATAACCCATCTTCAAACTGTGGAGAGACCCATGTTTGGACAGTCAGCTAACCCTAATTAAGCTAAATCATGGTTTCATTGTGTGAACTGAGCTTCAGAGTAGAAAAGGAAAAGGATTATCATAGACATATGAATGCACAACAGGCCTTTTGCTAGTCTAAAATGAACACTTGCTTCATCTGTTCATTGCGCCTTGGCTTGTGGAGAAACACATGTTGGAAGGATTATTGGCCTAATATGGGTGGCTCAAGTGGTTAAGACGCTGAACTGCAGGCTGTGGAAGGTCAGTAGTTCAGCAGTTCAAGACCCGGGTGCCGCAAGACGGGGTGAGCTCCTGTCTCTAGTTCCAGCTCCTGCCAACCTAGCAGTTCGAAAGCAAGAAATTGCAAGTAGATCAATAGGTACCACTTCGGTGGGAAAGTAACAGCGTTCCGTGCGCCTTGGTGATTAGTCATGCCGGCCACATGACCACGGAAACGTCTTCGGACAGCGCTGGCTCTTCGGCTTTGAAACGGAGATGAGCACCGCAACCCTAGAGTCGGATTCGACTGGCTTTCGAGCAAGGGAACCTTTACCTTTACCTATGGGCACATGAAGCAGTCCATCGAGGTCACTGTTGTTAGCTTTGACAGGCAGCAGCTCTCTGGGGTCTTGGGTAGGATGTCTTCCACATCACCTACTACCTAATCCTTTAAACTGGAAATACTGAAGAGTGAAGTTGGGACCTTCTGCATGCAAAGCGGATGTTCTGCCAATGATTTTCCCATAGGAAGCTCCCATCCATCGAATGACAGTTGCCCTATCAAGATCAGTAGAGCCTATTCAGGCTGACAGTGGGTCTCCAATGTCTCAGGTGGAGGGCTTTCCCATCACCTACTGCCTGGTCATTTTAAATGGAGATGCTGGGGATCGAATCTGGAACCTTCTGCATGTCAACCAGATGCTCTGCCACTGAGCCACGGCCCCTCGCCATATTGTGATAGGGATCAGCTCCTTGCCATGCTGTATGGCTTTAACATCACTGACCGCTACCTACTGTAAACAACTGGAGAAGGAGCTGTTAAAGCTGTTAAACTGAATTTACAATAGCCAAGGGGAGGAGGGAGAGAAGGAGGCTCCTTCCTTGTGAGTAAAACACCTGTCACACCTGCCAGGAGTCCTGCTAATTACACAGCAACTTTATTATGTCCCACTTGGAAGAACAAACAATAGCTGAAGTCTTGAAAAATGAGCAAGCTTCTATATATTTTTTTTCCCCTCTCCTCCTCTTCTTTTTGACAATAGATTAATGCAGACGGAGCCAGCATTCTCTGGATGCTCTCGGAAGCGCCGAGAGACTCAAATGACTTGAAGCCTCTCTTCTTTGTTACTCGTGTTCCATAATAAAGTAATTGTGCAATTAGAAATAGATTAGCGACAGCAGAGAGATCCTTTTCTTCCCTCCCTCCCTCCTTCTCCTTGGCGCAGGTAAAAGACAGGCCTTTTGAATGTGTTTGAAGTGTGAATGCGGTGGCTCTTCCTCATCTAGCATTGACCTTCTGTTAGCCCCTGGCAGCTTCGACAAAACAGAAGAGAAACTTCTCCTGGCGTAGATTTTTCTTCTCTGTGTTGTATGAATAAATTGCAGCTCCTTGATTAAGGCGCCAAGGAGTGTGTCTCTCCCCCTCCCTCCCTCTCCCTCTCTGAGCTTGGCGATGGATTATTCTTTTCCTGCAGGTTCTTGCCACTTGCCAGTCATCCCAGAGGCAGGTGGCTGCAAACTGAATGTATTTATTTAGGTACTGATACCCCACTGGTCTCCCTGATGGGAACCCAAAGTGGCTTACGAAATCATCAACCCAACTTCCACAAGTCCCAGTGACTCCCTAGTGGGGTTTTCAAGGCAAGTTGTTCAGAGGTGGCTGGCTGTTGCCTTCCTCTGCATTGTAACCCTGGCCTTCCTTGCTGGTTTCCCATCCAGGGATGACCCCGCTTGGTTTCTAAGATGAGTGCCCCCATTTTGTCTTCAGAAAAAGCACTCCAGTGAGGTTGATTTGGCTGAGAGAGAATGAGTGGTCACTGGACCAAGGTCACTCAGCCCAGCTTTCATCATGACAGAGGGGGGGGGGGATTTGACTCTGGGTCTCCCAGATCCTAGCACAGCACTCTAACCACTACATAATGCTGTCTGTCTGGTTGACAGAAGCTGCTGGACCCACACTTGATGGACCCAGACCAAAATCTTGTGCAGTTTTTCCCCCTTGTGTGCTGAGCCCACACACACACACACGGACTATACTCAAACACGCAGGGCAGAGGTCACATCAAAAGTATTATATAGTACATTTTTATCCTATTTGCTCTCCAATGGTGTAGTGGTTAAGTGCGCGGACTCTAATCTGGGAGAACCGGGTTTGATTCCCCACTCCTCCACTTGCACCTGCCGATGTGACCTTGGGTCAGTCACAAGCTCTGGCACAGCTGTCCTTGAAAAAGAGCCGTTTCTGTCAGAGCTCTCTCAGCCCCACCCACCTCACAGGGTGTCTGTTGTGGGGAGGGGAAGGGAAAGGAGTTTGTAAGCCGCTCTGAGACTCCAAGTGAAGGGCGGGGTATAAATCCAATCTCTTCTTCTTCTTCTTCTTCTTCTTCTTCTTCTTCTTCTTCTCTGTCAGGGTGGTGCATAGTAAGCAAGCCTCGTGGAACCCTGGGGAATTGAACTTCACAATCCCTAGTCCAACATTTTAATTGCTACGTCAAGCTGGCTGTTGGCTTGGCATATGCAGTGTATGTCTTCAGTGTGTACTTGCTGATATGCCCATGTCGATTTTCTTCAGAACATCCATATGATCAAGGGTGGAGTGGGAGCGCATGACCCTGCTCCCCAGTCCATGCATAGGTTGTGCCCTGTTCCGGTCAGTCCACAGAGCTTGCCAGCTGTTGTGCAAACTTAGGGCCAACCTCGATGTGATTGGACAGACACATATCTTCTTCACGTGCCTGCTACATTCAGTGGGGGAATGGGGTGTGTGTGTGTCTTTATACCAGAAGGTCACCTAGGGTGCTGAAGACTGCAACTTCCCTGTGACTCTGCTGTGTCCTCAGGCAATTTTCTCCTAGGGAGGAGCAAATGTTCTTTTGTTTCATTCTGTATTAATTTATATTTGTGTCAAGTGTTTCAGTTGCCAGTTTTGTGATATTGACTCAATTGATTTGTTTGCAATGTGTACCCATGGTGTCCAGTTTTGGTAGGCGCTGTGTACATACAGTGTATACCATTTCTGCAGACACTTTGTGGATGTTATTTGGTCCCTTCAAGAAAACCCAGTAGTGGTGAACAATATAAAGTTAAGGCTGCCTTACCATCCATGTAATGTGGTGACTCTTGTGGAACTGTAAGGAGAACACTATGATGGACTTCCAATGACTCATAAATCATTGGGGCCCTGTCATGATCCCCAGACCAATGATCACATCTTTTGGGTGGAACTTGAACTTAATCCAGAACAAGTCTTCTATGGACCGCCTACCCATGATTTGCTAGGGACCGATTATAAACAAAAGCCAGTTGATGCAAACGTTTACAATGTGTTTCTTACAGGCACAGAGCATTGAAAAATATGGTGAATGCAATGTCTTTGTGTGTGTGCAAAGTGTTGTCAAATCACAGCCGCCTTATGGCAACTCTGTGAGGTTTTCAAGGCAAGAGATGAACAGAGGTGATTTGCCATTGCTTACCATTGCATAGCAACCAGGGCCGGCTCACCCACTAGGCGAACTAGGCATTCGCCTAGAGCGCCGGGCCCTGGATGGGGTGCCGAAATGTGCCTCCCCCCGCCAAAAGCCCGTGTGCTATTGCTGCTCCCAGCCATGTGGCATGGGGCATGTGAACGAGGAGCGCAAGGCCGCCTCGCCTTCCCCCTCCGCCCGGGGTCGGCTTTTGTAAATCCAAATGTGGGGTGTTTTGGTTTAGGTGCCCGGAAACCTTGCCACCTCCTCCTCGCTTGCCTAAAGGGGGAGAGAAGTAGGACTTCCTTCTCTCCAGGCTCTGCCTTGAGATTGGCAACCCCATAATTGGGTGCGTGGGGGGTGCCAGAAGGTAGCCCCGCCTAAGGTGCAAAAAAACCTTGGGCTGGCCCTGATAGCAACCCTGGACTTCCTTGGAGGCCTCCCATCTTAGCTTCTGAGATCTGACTAGACTGGGCTAGCCTGGACTCTTCAGGCCTGAGCAAATTTTTTTACTGGCTTCAATAGGATGAGACATTCTGGGTGGAAGGCCTAGTAAACTTCTCCAGCCTTTTCATTTTGTTGTTTGTTTATCTCCAGGTCCTGTGGCTGTGATCAGTGGGGAAGAAGACTCTGCCAGCCCCCTTCATCACATCAACCATGGCATCACGGGGCCTTCATCTCTGGATGCTGGCCCAGACACAGTCGTGATTGGCATGACCCGCATCCCCGTCATTGAGAACCCACAGTACTTCCGGCAAGGCCATAACTGTCATAAGCCAGATACATGTAAGTGTGTTTACTGTTTCCCTTTCTTGTTCTTCCAGGAATAAGAATAGAACAGGTAAGAAGGGAAGAAGAGGTTGGTAAGAAAGAGAAGAGAGTTGAGGAGTTCTAAGGAAGTGAGGTTATATGGGAGGAATGTGGGTCTTGTATGGTCCAGAAACCAGAAGTGAATCTCGTGTCCTATAAAAAAAGCACAACATACACGTAGGCATTTCAGAAGTTGAATGTTAGTGTCACCAGCCAAAAAACCACTTCCTCTAGTTTTGGCATTGACTTCCTGGAATCCTGAACGGGAGATCCCAGTGACAGAGAGTATAAGGGGGGTGCCAAGGCCTTTGTTATGCAGGGTACAGTAAGAGGACCCTGACTTTGCTGGCTTGGGATTCCACATGGGCTGCCATCTTGAAGAGTGGCCACCCTGGAGGCTCCACAGGTCAGGACCATCTGGAGGTCTTAAGACCAAATCAGCCAATTGATTTCCTTCACAAGGATTCTGCACAGAGACACAAGAAGCAAGAAATCAGACCATTAATGATAATGAATGAGTAACAAAGAAATATTATACATGTGAACAGAAGGATCCATATTGTGTTAATGTTGATTAGAAGGCAAAGATCCCAAAAGAGACAGTTCCCCAAATACAGCACACTACAGGCAAGGGCTCAAATTCTGATGATTACACAAAGAGACAACAGCAGTAGAAGAGCAAAGAGTTTCAAGAATTGGTGTGGCTTTTATAGAAAAAGGCTCACGTTTGTCTTTCCGTTAAGAACCCTTCAATTGCTCTTTTCCAAAAGTTAGGGTGTTTGGGGCATGTAGCTAATCTGGAACAAGGTATTTGATGCTGGCATTTCCCCCCCCCCCCCTAAATGGGACCAGTTTGCTTTATCCAGTTTGCAAAACAGTAAACCTGTTGTTATGGATCATTTTTCATTACGGTTCTGTTATTATCCTGAATGGTTTATTTCTTGGTTCTTGTCCTCCTTTCTACCATCTGTGTAGAAGGCAGATAGATACCTGTCCTCAAACCTGAACACAGAACTCCTTCCAATGAAATATATAGCATATTCGCTGAGTGATAAATCATTCTTTCCTGTTGACTACGAGTCCTCATAATCCACAAGAATTTTAAAAATATATATAACCACCTAGAGTGCATAATGTTGGTCACTTCATATCCTCAGCGTTTCAGATTGCCCAAAATGGCTCCAAACCAAACCATATGAAAGGCTATGGCATCTCTCCCCCTCCCTTTCCCAACACTGTCTCATGCGCTTTCCATTCATGTGCTTTGCATTGTCCGTGTTTCTTGCATCTATTCAGGACTGTGGGGAAATAAAATGGTATTATCACCGTGTTCTTAGCACTGGAGAATACTTGGTGTCTTGAGGTCACCCTCAGTGAATGTTTGCAGGTTTGTTAAGGATCAGGGAGTGTAAGTTGAAGATTGTTTCAGAAATCCATACATGCATTAGGCCAAAGGTCCTGCACCCTTTCAGTAGGATGGAAAGCTTTGAGAAATTTAATCAGATTAATTAGCTAACTTCAGTTGATTTGGCTGTGCCAAATATTCACTCTTTTTCATTTTCCAAGTTAAAATTTTGACTTGCTTTTGGTAGGGTGGTGACGATTTCTGTTGAAATTCACAGGTTTTGTAAACAGTTGCTCTTTTCCCACCTTGTTCTGTGCTCTTGCTTCCCTTGACTGCTGCTGTTGTGGGGCAGATTCCACCCTTCCTTTCTTTTTACCCCCCTGAATGAGTCACACAAGTCATCCCATCCGGTTAGGGATCATCTACTGGATCACTGTCCTCTGTCAGCAATTAGACAGTATGGATTATTTAAATCAACAAGCAAACACTTCCTCAAGGAATACAGAAAAATCAACAGAAGAGTTTTTCATCCTTGCCAAAAATGTTGAGCCCTGAACTTTTGGGGGAGCCCATTTTCAGTTGAGTTGAAAATTAAGCACACATTTTTCAAAGGGGGTAGATGTGTTTTTTGCTCTGGTTTGCTAATGTGATGTGGATTTTGAAAAAAAAGAAAATAAAACCCTTACTGTTGGCCTTTCTTTCCAAGAATTAATGGTAGTTTCTATTTGGTAAATTCTGAATTTTAAATTATCTTGCATATCTTCAAGATATGAAACGGCCCCTTGTATTGGTATGTGCCATGCACATTTATTTAAACTGTCTGCCTTGGTAGTCAACTAATCTTTTGGCAGCCATACCTCTTTGGTTTCATGTAACATTACTTGTCCAGTGTAAATGCCTACAGTGTCAAACTCTTGAAGCCCCCAGGCATGAACGAGGCGCCCACATTCATCTACCATTTCTTCCCTTCTCTGACACGCATTCAGCAGAACCAAGTAGTGAAGGATTTCCTAGCCTCCTCCAGACTGTCACTTTTGCATGTGAATGTTCCCCACAAAGATTCCTTGAATACAGAGCACTGAGCTCTGTACAAAGCTGAGCTCTTCTACAAAGAGGGACATTCCTTAGCTGAGACTAAGCACTAAACTGGTGCTTCCATTACTGTTTTGCTCAGCTGGGCTATGTTCTGTTACGTTCACACCCATCTCACGTGCAACAGTACATGTTCTTGTTTTTCCCCTAGCAAAGAGGCACATACTAAGTGAATGTGGAGGGAGTGGGAGGGTGAGATGTGGAGCAACGGAAGGACAGAAGCTACCTCAAACAGCACATGCATAGTGCAAAAGGCAGCAACCAAAACTGGAATAGCAGTGGATTCCCTAATGAAATCTAGCGGGCAAATTTGGAGGATAGTTTTGGCAGCATCCCCAATGAGGATATGCCAGTGTTCTCTTTTTTGGGGGAAAATAAGTCGTTTCTCTCTATGTGTTTAACAGGGGCACCATGAGACAGGAAGAAGTGGGCCCTATTCTGGTGGCATTTGTTGTAGAGAGACCGTATGGCGTAGTAGTTAGAGTATCAGACTAGGATCCAGGAGACTTGGGTTCATATCTCTGACATGTGGTATTCTGGATAGCCTTAGACCAGTTGCTGTCTGTCAGTTTTACCTACCTAACAAGGTTGTGGTGAGAACAAAATGGGCGGGGAGAGACTTCTGTTCACCACCCAGAGCTCCTTGGAGAATAAGTGGGATAAAAACGTATAGCTGGATAAAAGAGAGCCAGCGTGTCATGGTGGCTCAAGTGTCAAACTAAAACCTGGGAGAACCAGGTTTGAATCCCCCCTCTGCCATGGAATCTTGCTGGGAGACCATGAGCCCAGTCACAGTCTCTCAGCCTAACCTACCTCACAGGGTCTTTGTTTTGAAGCTAGGCTAGAGAAGGAGAGAACACTGTGATAAGCTGCTTTGGGTCCTCATTGGGGACAACGCAGGGTATAAATAACAATAAGCACAGTGTAGAAGAGTTTGAGTGTAGCGGTGCAGACCCTTCCTCAAGGGGGAGCTTAGATCTCAGCATTCTCTGCAGTTTAACTCTCTTTTTGGTGTGAACAGCACAAGAATTAACGTCTCTATTAAGCGCTTGTTAAACTGAAGTAATGTTTTCTGTGCACATCCCCCCCTTCCTCCCATAATGGAATGTTCCCCTTGGGATCACCCCGTTGTTTGAAATAGGCGCTGCTGCTAGTAGACGAAGTAGAAGACTTAAGGTTTGTAATTTGGAGTGAACCCATCAAACAGTGGCGACGCTTCAATCACCAGGGCAATGGGCTGCATCCACTTAATTGCACCCGGCTTCGTCGTTGATTACAAGGCATTTATTTTGTTGTGTTTTGTATGGAAGTGGTAGATTGGTCTGACTAGGCAGAGAAAGTCAAGAAGCAACACCGGCAAATGCAGCTTTTTTAAAACTTCAATTTCTCTCATTTTTCTTTTGTGTTCCTAGAATGCACCAATATTAGTGTGCTTTCTGAACCATGATGCCTTGAAATTTCTCTAGCTGTCAACTGTGACATTCTTAATGTATGCTAGATACCACACTTACGTGATGGACATTGGTTTAAGCAGTGGATTACAGTTTGTTCTGCATTGGAAATGTCCCTGTAAGCCAAGCTGAGTTTCTTTGGATTAACAGAGATCTGGTACAGCCAAGGGACATGTTGTTGGGATATTTCAGAGGAGAAGGTTGTATAAGTGAGGGTTGAGGGAGTCGTAACTTTCAGGTCTAAGCACACATCGTTCTGGGATGGATCTTTGGGTGGGGTTACCAATTGTTACTCGTTCTGTTCTGCACTTGTTCAGCTGTTTTGCAGCATTCATATTTTGGTTCCAATGGCCCACTGTGAACTTGTGTGATCTCCATCTGTGTGTATGATGCACATTTTGATATGTGCATTACGTATTCCAAACATATTTCAACCTGTATTTCCATAGTACTTCAAACATGATAATATGTATCCAAATCCCTACCCAATGTGTACCCTATATGTAATTGGAGACACACCAATGAAAAAGAAGCAATTCTATTGGTCGCAATGGGCAACTTGGAGCAGAATTGCTTATTGTGCTTAAGGATGTACACTTGGATATACTTGAGTGGAATATAAACTAGAATGTAGCAGTTTCATATCAGCTCTGGGATATCCAAAATGACCCAAAGCATCCTCAGATTCCTTGAATAAGGAAATAAGGAATAAGGAAAAAAATATATATTGGAGCGAAGAAGTAGAGAGAGGAAGTTGGTCCACCAAAGAGCTGTTTGGCAGAGTTTCCCTGCCTTTAAATTTTAAAGGGCCATTATTTTCTGTGGGGGGTAGAAAATAATGTCTCCATAGAAAATAATGGTCCTTTAAAGGGAGGGAGAGGCTGTAAACAAGCTTCCTTTCTTTCCTTTTCTGCTCCTGCTGCATCTGGGGGTGGTGGGAAAATGGAGGAGCAATTGCTAAAATGGTCCTGAATTTTCAGGACCTGAAAAAAACAAAAAAACCTCTAGCTGGTAACAATCTTGAAGAGTAAGGAGAGTCCCAAAAATTCAGGGCAACAAAAAGAACGCCCAATTCACATCCAGATTCA